ACTCACTGACGGTCAAGATCTCAAAAACTGAATTAAGTGAAAACGGGCGTGGGCGGGTGTGAGCGCCACCATGAGCCGAGGCTGCCATCTGGTGGGCACGGCTGAGAACGCCACGTGGAATTGTTTCCCAAGAGCATCCCGGCGGGTCTGAGACATTTGCCGGCTCCCGCAGGAACACCGGCATTAGGCAAGGCCCTGGCGTTGTCCTTCACAAGGCACTACTTTCGAGGTCTTTCCCTGCTTTACGCCCCTCCAGGACAAAAAAAGAGACTCAAAGGGAAGGAAAAATCCAAACTTGAAGCTATCCAACACGAAGGACTGTGGGAGCACCCATCCCCCCTTCTCTTTTTATTATATATATTTCAAGTTTTCAGGCTACCTCACTCAATTCATCATTCTTACTCCTTAGTTGTGGTCTGAATCCCACCCCCTCTTGCTGTCTTGGGACCTCCATCTGTTCTGTACGTCCTAGCCTCTTCCCCCTTACTTGATCCTTGTCATCATATTTAAGAGTTTCATGCTTAAAACTCTCAACTTCTTAACCCCTCCGGCTGGTTCTCTCCTCCTCGCCTACATCCACTGACTCCATTTCCTTTTCTCCCACGCATCCTTGGGCCCCTGAAATCCGCAGGGTTAGAGCAAGGCTCTTATCTACCCACCATCTGGCTCTGGCACCATTATTCTGGCTTCCCTCCTGGTATTATTAATAAACTGGCCACGCTCTTAGCAAAGGCCAACCTCTCCCCTGTGCACTAAACGTCAAGCATCACTACCAACAGTTGTTCCTTTCCTCTCCTGCGTCATCAAAATCTCCCTGCCCCCAAATCTGATCCATCAGTAGGAAAATGTTGACTTCCGCATATTATATCAACCATCAACCAACAACTTCCTCTTGTCCCCCTTCCCTTTCCCACTGTTGCCCCCGCCTCCCCCCTTCCCTTCAGCCAACTACACCTGCTCTCTCCAATTTCTCTTCTCCCATTCTCTCTGGAATATCTTCCAATGAGCCTTTGCCCCATGTCTCCACTGACAAACTTACCAGGTCTCTAAGGCCCTCCTCTCGGTGCTAATACACCACTCAGTTCTCAGTTCAGACCTGTCATTTGCATCCTCCCGTTCACTCCCTCCTCCCTGGAAATACTTCCTTCCCTTGGTTTCCAGGACACAGTTCCCTGGTTTTCTTCTTACTGCACTGCCTGCTCCTGGCCTAGTTTCTTTTCATGCTCTTGACTCTAAATGCTGGAGGGTCCCAGTGTTCAGCCCGTAGATCCTTCTCTTTTCTTACCACACTCACTCACTCCCTGAGTGACCTCACCTGGTCTCATGGCCTTGATCACCTTCTATGTTGATGACTCCCACTTTACTCTTTCTGTTTAGACTTCTCTCCTGAACTCCAGAATCAACTTCCTACTCGACATCGTCACTTGAATGTCTATTAGGCGTCTCACATTGTCCCTAAGACTCAGCTCCTGGTCTTCCCCTCAAAGCCTCTTCCTTATCCCAGCTTAATGACAACTTCAACTTTGGTTGTTTAGGCCAAAAACCTTAGGGTCATCCTTGGCCACCCCGACATGCCCACCGTGTCTCTGGCCTCATCTCCTTCTCGCTCAGTCTGATCCAGACACCTTGTTCTGAAACCATGCCAGGCATGCTCCAACTCCAGATACGTCCCCAGAGAGCCACGTGGTTTGCAACAGTTACTTCCCCGGTGAGTGTGCTGAGCTGAGCCCAAAAGCTGTTCCGGTCCTAATCCCTGGACCCTGTCAATATTACTTTGTGTGGCAAGAGGGACTCTGCAGATGTGTTAAGGATCTTGAGATGGAGAGATTATCCTGGATCATCTGAGTGGGCCCTAAAGGTAATCACAGTGTCCTTCTAAGAAAGAGGCAGAGGGAGATTTGACACAGAAGGCGGCAATGTGACCGCTGAAGCGAGATGCTACGTTGCTGGCTATGAAGATGGAGGAAGGGGCCACCAGCAAAGGAATGCAGGCATTGTAGCTCTAGAAGTTGTTAAAAGCAAGGTAATGGACTCTGCCCTAGAGCCTCTGAAGGGAATGTGGCCCTGCCGACACCTTGATTTGGGCCCAGGAAAACTGATTTTGGACTTCTGAACTTCAGAACTGTAAGATAATAAATGTGTGTTGTTTTAAGCCACTAAGTTCATGGTAATTGGTTACAGCAGCCACAGGAAACTGTAAGTAGTTGAGGTTTTCTCTGTCTTTAAAATTGCATCCTCTCCTCCAACACCCCATCCCCCTTTGCTTTCTCTTTCTTTTTAGTACCTAGCTGCATCAAATATACTCTAAGTTTTACTTACTAGTTTATTGTTTATTATCTGCCCTGCCTGACCCCACCGACCCCCCCCCCCCCCCCCCCCCCACACACACTTAAGTCCCATGGATGTTAGGCTGCTTGGTTCCCTGCGGTACCCTGGGGATGAGAGCACTGCAAACTGTCCTTCCCTCCTTCCCTTCCTTCCTCTCACCTCTTTGGTCACCCCTCCTATCCTTTAATGCTGGTTCCTTTTCCAGCAGTCAGAGTGCAAAGCATGTGCAAATCCAAGTGCCTAAAGAGGCCAGCAGGTAATGGAAATGAGGCCAGAGCAGCTGGCTGTCAGCACAGCTGCTGTGTGTGTGGACTGAGCGGTGGGCTGCCCTGGGGTGGAGGGACTTGTCTCTCAGGAAGATGGAGTGCTGCCCTGTCCAAAGCAGGTGGGCACAGCTTTACCTCAGCTCTGGCAGACTTTCCCCGGGCAAAACGTGGGCCCAATGATACCATTTCCCAATTTCCCAAGATTTTTACCTGCAATCTCTCACTTTCTACATGGGATTAAAAAAAAAAAAAATGCAAAGAACAAAGCACCACACAGTGCTGCTCCGCAGGACTTCATCCTCAGCCCTTTTCTTCTAGGAATACAGTTTGTCAAGGCCTTTGCTTCTACATCCATGGTGTCAACTGCTCTCTCTATATGGGTGTGTTTCCAACTCGCTCCCGAGCTCCAGAACAATGTATTCAATTACCTGCTCGGGGTCTTCACCTGGATGTACGTGAGGCATGTCCAACTCAAAATGATTATCATCTTCCTCCTAAAGTTTACAGTCCCTACGTTGGTAAATGGCCCCACTGTTTACCGATGCCCCAGCCAGAAAACTCCACTTCTCCTGTCTCACTAATCAGACACAAAATCCTGCTGATTCTAACCAATTTTTCTTACATCTCCATCTCTCTTACATCTACCCTCTTGTACCAACTGCCGCTCCTTGGTGCCTTTTAGCTGGAGCCTGACAATTACCTCCAGTCTTTCCTCTCCACTGCCGCCAGAAAGCTTCAGCTTAATTCTAATCATGCCACCCTCCTTTGCATGCAGCTATTCCAAAAACACGTTCTACGTGACACTGGTTCCAAGGGATATGAATGGGGTTGCTTGATAAAGAGTTCTGTGATGACACAGGTTTAGAACAAAGAGTTTAAATACAGCTAAACTTTTTGTTTCTTTTCTTCCCTGCAGGAGCTCTCAGTGTCCTTCGTGTGCTGACGTATATCCTGACGCTCCACAGGGTGATGCAGCATTTGGTTAGTTTCGCAAACTTATCTGGCCATGGGATTCTTTTTTCATGGGGCATCTCAAAGAGTATGTTTCACAGTGAGGACTATTGCTTCAACAGCTTTCTGTTATCTACAGGACACAATTAAAATTCCTTAGCATAGGACTGAGAACAAGGATAGTGAAGCCAGAACACCTGGGTCCAGATTATGGGTGTGCCACTTGCTTAGTGTATGACACTGGGCAAATTATTTTTCTCCATGCCTTTATTTCTTTGTCTGTAATAGAAGGATAATAATACAGCTTGGCATAGCGTTGTTGTAAGGATTAGAGTTATTAGTAGTAGTACATGTAAAGTGTGTAGGACAGTGCCCTGTGCTTGGTAAGTGCCCAGTAAATTTGGCTATTTTCTAATTCATGGTCTTTCGCCATCTGTTTTTTCTTTCCTCACGTCCTCCTATCATGGTAGGTCCAGTCTTTAGCTACTTTTAGATCCTGGAACTACGGCTTTTGTCTCTGGTGTTGCTCTTCCCTTTGCCTGAAATTCCTCTCTAGTCCCGTCCTTTCCCCCTATTTATCTCCACCTGTTAGCTCATTTTTTCCCCCTGTGTTCCCAGGCGGACTTGTGCACCTGCACATTCAACAAGTATTTATCAGGCAGCTACTATGTACCCGGCATTTCTGGAGGGCGAGTCAGACGTGTCATAACGTTTAATACCCTGACTGCCCTGTACATGCCAGGGAGTCAAGCTCCTGGTGATTTCTCTCATCCCTCTCTCTTCTACGCCCTCTGTCCGCTGCATTCTGCGGAGGCCCGTTTCACTCCTGTCCGCTCATGCAATTCCCTGCTAGACTTTGCTGCAGAGTCTTTCGTCTTTGTATCCCCGGCACCTAGAATAGTTTTGGGCACATTACATACACCCGATACATATGTGTTGATTGGATACATGCATTTCTCTGGGTCACTGTTCCAAGCTCTCCGCTGCCTGCGTAGATCTGGGACCAGGCGCTCTCCTCGCTGGGCCTTACTTTCCTAAACCGCAGATCAGGCAGAGGAAAAGCAGCCTATCGCGCCGCGCTTGGCCGTTTGGCTGCTTAGCTGCTTGGCAGACAGCGCCGTACAGGCCGCCGCGCACTGCGGTACGCGGTCCCCAAATTCTCGGAAGTAACACGAGGAAGAACGTGCCGGCCCGGGTGAGTTGCTCCCCGGGGGCTGCGTGGGCTCGGCCGCACCCTCAGATCCCCTGCCCGCCAGCCCGCGCCGCCCGCACTCACGCTGCACGTTGCAGTTGCCTCAGCAAGTGAGCTACCCTGTCGCGGGAAGCGGCCATGGCTGTGCGGAGTGCTTCTCTCCGCGGCCCCGCCCCCTCCGCCGCCGGCCAATCCCGGCCGCCGCCTCTCCTCCGCCGGCCAATCCCGGCCGGCGCCTCTCCTCCGCCCACCCGCGCCGCGGTCTCCGGCCCCAGCGACAGCCCTTGGCAGAGGACCATTTTCCCACCAGTCGGAACTACGACTGCCCCAGCTGCAAAGTCTCACCATCCACCTTTGAAATTGCCACACAGGTAACTGCTCCGTAGGGATTTGGGATACTTTCCTATGTCTCTATATAAACTATGTCACAAGTTGGGGACGTGGGGAAAGGGAGAAACAAGGGCATTCTTTTTCCACTCTGCTATTTTGGCTTCTCAGAGTATTTTCAGAATAAATTAAGACACTGCATTTAAATTTGTTTTAACGGTAAACAAGAACTTTGCAAAAAGCCCGAGGGTCTTTTTTTTTTTTTAGAAGGCCAGTATTGTGTCCAACTGCTAGATCAAGTCACAAAACAAAAGCCAGAAAAATTCCCAAACAAAACAGTAACAAAAACAAAAAATCCCGGACAGTTGAGAAGAATTTAAAAGGTGTTAAATGGTCTATGAATGGTTTGGCTTTTGATGAAGTTGTTCAGGATACCATTAAATGGTTTTATCAGTAGTTAAGTTTCCACGGTTATGTGGGAAGGGAGGGCCAGGGTTTAGCAGCTCCAAGTTTCCAGGTCCCAGTGGAAACAATGATCAATGATGGCAGAGTTAACTTTATCACAAAGTATTTTAAGACAGTAACAACTGAACATCTGTGTTTTAGTAACCTATTATGAAATCTGAATTAATCTTTTCTTTCATAGCAATTTCTAAAAGTAACAAAGATGAGACAACAGTGAAAAAATGAGAGACAAACGATCTCAATTTTAATTTCCTATCAATTGTCAGACCAAAAAGCAAGAGTAGAGTGGCTCCTCAGACCTATAACAGCAGCAAAAAAGCACTACCCCCCCCATTCTAGATGTACTATGAATCCTTTTCAGGAGATATGTATTTTTACGAAGATGAGTTACTGATATCAATTAGGGAAAGAGACCCAGAATAGCTGTAAACATTTCACCTCCTAATCAAACCAGCTCAGGTAAATTTGACAAATGAATCAAAAGATAATGTTCCAAGTAAGGACTTTGTGAGTTTCTTTCTCTCTTCCCCAAACAGACCTACTTGAAGCTTTAAAAAAACTGGGGACATAAATGTTGATAAAGATTTAAGTATAAAATTAGGATTAATGAGGATTATTACTATTATTTAGTGAAGCCCCAATTTATCATTTACAGCAAATTAATGTTTTCAGTGTTGAAAGAGGCACCAGTTGTACTACACTTTCAATATTATATCTGATGCCAAAAGAAGTATGAGCTTTTCTAATAAAAGTGGTCTCACTGAAATCATAATTTAGCTGCTATGTTTTCTAGAAAGTAAATGAAAGTAATCTGTGCCAGGTATTCAGGTCACAAGCTTTACTTAAGATTTGTACCAGTAGCCAAAAAGTTAAAAGCAACATTACATAAGACACTTTTATTAAATAACCTTTACAACCGTTCTGAAAATGTAACCTTTCTGTCCCTCTCCTTTGATAAATACACAAGCTTGTTATCAAAATAATGCAGATACCAATCTATTAAAAGTCTCTGAAATATGACCAGCTCTCTCCCTTACACCCCATCCAAAGTTTAAAGAGAGAGAAAAAAATGGCTGTTTAAAAACAGAACTCACTCCTAGTTTCCACAAATTCTTTCCAATTCGTATGTCCTTAAATACATCCTTTAATCTCCAGCAAAAGTTTTGGCTGTGGGAAATGCATTAATTTGTCGAATCAAACATTTACAACCATCTTCAGAGGAGGGCAAGCCTAGCCCTTTAACCTGAAGCTCGATGCAGGCAGCGGCCCCATCTGCTGTATCCCCCTACTGTACCTAGAACTTAACATTAAGTACAGTTCTTGGTTTACAAGCAGGTCCGAGGGTGAAATTTACTTCCTCCTCTTTCCTCCTTGGTGTTGCCCTCCTTTTCTCTTGCCACTCAAGCCAGGCCGCCCGGAATTCATCTTGCCTCCCAAGCCCCCTTTCCTCTTCCCTCCTTGGCTGGGCGGGCCCCCTTTCCTCTTACCCCCGGGACCCTGTCGGCCCCCCTTTCTCTTGCCCTTCTGACTCATTTTCCTCCTCTTAGCCGCCTCTTCCTGGTCCTCCTCCCTCATCTGCTTATTGGTGGCCCTCGTAACGTCCAACTGAGGCTTCTTGCTGTTCATTATTCGCAGCATCTCCAACTGGCTGTTTTTCTCGGCTGCAAAGTCCCCGAAAAGAGGCTGAAACTTCCTCTTCTTTCCAGAGCCCCGGGGCGCCTTCTCCTTGGGCAGGCGCTCCTGGAAGCGCCCCACAGAGGCGGTGGAGACCCTGGCCACCTGCACGGCGCGGCCAAGCTCCTCCTTACTCTGGTGTCCGGTAGGGTGCATGCCGGCCGCGCTAGGCAGCCGCAACTTGTGCGCGCGGGCCAGGTTACGCAGCCGGTTCAGCTCGTTCTTGGCCACCCGTTCCTTCTTAGCCTGAATCCGCTTGGCGAACTGGTCCTCCATGGGGTCGGCATTCCCGGGCACCTCGATCAACCATTCCTTGGTGTCGTCGCGGGCCCGCTGGTAGCCCCAGCGGCGGCGCCACTGGCCGCTCCCCTCGTCCCACACCAGATTGGTCTTCTTCTTGGGACGGATGCCCTTGAGGCGCGCAAACTGCTGCCAGCGTGTAAGCGGCCGCGGCCGGGGCACAGGCTTCTCGCGCGGCAGACGAGTGGTGGGCTCCGGCAGCCGCGCCACCAGCGCCTCCTCCACACGATCGGTGGGCAGCTGCCACAGCTGGTTGATGAGCAGCTGCGTGTTGTCCCGCGCCAGGGCCCGCAGCTCGGCCTCCTGCGTGGGTCCCGCGTGCCGCAGCCCGGTCGGAGGGTTCCGGTCCGAGGCCAGCAGGTTACCCAGGTCGAACTCCAGCTCCAGTTCCTTGTGCACCGTGATGCGCTGCAGCTTCTCTGCCTCGTCCCGCTCCGCCTTTGCCAGCAGCTCCTCCACGCTCTGACCCTCCATGGCTCCGGCTCGGCTCCCTCTCGCTGGGAGACAGTTGCAATCACTTCTCTGCCAGCTAGGTTCAAGTCCCGGCGCTACTACCACGTGCGGTCGCCCAGACGTTCGTCCCGGAAGAGAAAACTCCGCTTCCGGGACACCCGGAAGGGACTCACAATGCCGGCGACCCAAGGGAAGGCCGGCAGAGGGCGGTGTTGGAGAGCAAATGGGATTAGAGGCGGCCCTTGGGCTCGAGACCGGATGTAGGCGGAGTAGGCGCACGGAGCCCAGCCTGCGGTGCATGTTTTGGGAGCCGCAGATTAAGGGGGTCCCGGAGCAACTGTGTTACAGTTTAAGTGTAAGTCAGTTCTCAAGATGTTTAGCCAATCATCTCTTCTTAGGACCTGACAAATTATTTTTCTCCAGAGCCCTGACTTGTTCATGGGGGTCCGGGTTGTGGGCCGAGAAAGACACTTCCCACAGATGTACGTAAAGCTACGTGTAGACGAGGGCTTGGTTTGTTTTGGGAGTGAGCGGACCTGGCAGTTAGACCGCCCTGAGTGGGTGAGCTGATATCTGGTCCCCGGAACCCTGGGCCGCATCCTCTGCTGGCTTGTGGCAAAGGAGCGCCGGGCTCTGCCGTGAGACTGCCTGGATTCCGACCTTGACTGCACTAGTGTTTGACCTTAAGCTGTTTAACTTCTTTGGGCCTATTTTAAAACCTGTACGATGGGGATACTAATAGTACCTGCCTCTTAGGGCTGGCATGAAGATAAATGAGTTAATATGCTCCCAAGGGAGCTTACACAGAGGTCTGGAGCCTATGAGTGCTCAGTAAATGTGAGCTAAGTACCAATTATTATTTAATCTTCATAATGGCTCTGGGAGCTGTGCTGAAAAGGCAATCTTATACAGTGATTAAGCACCAGGTTCTTGAATCAAACTCCTAGAATAAGATCTGGGTTTATTGTATCACATTGGACAGGTTGTTTAACTTAAGTCCTATTCATAAGTTGATAAATTTGAAGCATTAGTTCCTGGTACCTAGTAAGCACCATATTCCAAAGGCAGGCGCAGTAAAATGACTTGTCTAAGATTTTGCAACTAGGAAGTGTGGGAGCAGGAGTTATCTTAACGGTGATTTTAAGACTACATACATATTATCTGCAATGTCTTCTAGGCTCTTCATGCTGGAAAAGTGTGGTCTGTCGACCAGCAGTATAGCATCACCTGGGAACTCGTTAGAGATGCAGAATCTCTGGCCTCATTACATCTGGCCTCAGATGTAATGATTCAAAACCTTCATTTTAACAAAATATCGAGGTGATGAATATGTACAGTCCAGTGTAGGAGGCACTGGTGATTGTGTGGTTTATAGGATTTGTTTTCCTTTAATGGGAAGTTGGGATTAGTGAAGAAGGGGTTAGCTGGAGAATTAATCCATAGAAATGGACATAATAGCCGTTAGTTAGGAAATAGATTCAGTTGAGTGTCAGCTAGAGAGGGCTTTAGGTACAGCCCCACCTATCACACCTGCCCCCCTGAGTTTGGTCTCTTCTTGAGCTCATTGGCTTTCCTCAGCTCTCCTTTGTTCATTCACTCATCAAACATTTAGTGAGCACATTTTATGCCTCAGGAATTGGGCTCTAATATTCTTTCTTCCTCTTTTCTAAAAGCATTTTAAGATTTGCTGGGGTTTTTCTGAGCCTTTGTCTTAATGCTCAACACCAAGTTTTTAATACCAGTCATCCCATGGGGCCAAGGCCAGGTCAAAGGTCGTGTTAGGTAACTTCCTTGACCCTTAAAGCGTTTGGGATTTGCCATAGGAGAGTGTTAAGGACACTGCTATGGCTGTTCTGGGCTCGGCTTAGCTTCTGATTCATTCATTCATTTAACAAACATTTTAATGACTACCATGTTTGAGACACTAGATACAAAGATTAACCAGACCTTATGGAACAGTGGGGAAGAAAGAAAGGTTAAGAGAAATTTACAATATGGCATGGTTGGGCCTTAAATAGGAAGTACAGCTGTGTAGAATTTAGCTCCTTTGTCAATCTTCTGAGTTAGGGAAAAGAAAGAGCAGATGTCCATAGGCATTGAATGGTATTCTCACTGGATGAAATGCTGTTTGGTTTAAATCATATAGGTCAGCTCTTAACCGAACTTTAATTGTTTTATGCTCAAGTGTTTCTTTATAATCCAAGTCGATTTTAATTTCCTTGATGACCAGAGACTGATTTTTACTTCCACTTTGCTGAGTGTAGTGCTGGATACATAATAGGTATTCAGTACATGATTGCTTGAAAGAGTAAGCCTAGTTTCTAAATTAAAAAGGGATTAATGTTGGCTGTTAGATTCAAGGTGAGCAAAACTAGTAAGACCAGGATTGGGGCTTTAAAAAATACCTTATTGAGGCAGATAGGTATGTGGTAGTCTCCAGCTTGCATTTGTATCATCTTTATGCTGGGCAAGATTGTGCAGTGTTAAGAAAAAGAGAGCTTACCAGGGATGTGCAGATATATGTGAATATACTATAACAGTACGGCAAAGGGTTGTAAATATTGTCGTTTCCTTTTGTTGGTTTTTCCCTTTGTCTTTCTTCCTTTGTCCCGTATTGCAGATAGATCCCCAGTTTGGTCATCAGACCCCACTTCTTTTCTCTTTATACCTGCTCTCTATGCCATTTCATCCACTCTCATTGTGTCAGCTGCCATTTCTGTGCAGATGATTCTTAGAGGTACATCTTTCTCCCTTTCCTTTTCAGAGCACTGGACTCAAATCTCCAACCACCTGCTGGGCTCTTCTACCATGCTCTAAACTCAATGTGTCTAAGACTACATAACACATCATCTTCCTGAAAATTTGCTTCTTCCATCATCCATCCACCTTTTTTCCCCTCCAACAAATGTTTATAGAAGGTTTTTCATGGCCAAGGCACTGTGCTGGGCGTTGGGAATACAACGGTTAGTAAAAACAGGCTCAGTTGATGTAATCATCCATTCTAGTCTAGCAAGGCTTGAACCTATGATGTCATCCTTGGCTTTTCTCTTCCCATCTCTAAATTCAGTTGTTCTAAAAGTCCTATTAAATTTGTCTCTGTATTGTTCCTTTCTCATTCCCACTACCGTGACCTCACCCCTAGACTGGGACTCTTCTGTCTACTTCTCCCGGTACTCTCTCCACTCTGCTCCTGCCCCTGGCTTCCAGCTGCGTGCGGCCAGAGGAGGCATTGACAGAAGATCAGAGGATGTGAAGAGGGAGAGGTGAGGGCATGTTTGTCCCTAGCCCTCTGTGGTTATTACTGTGGGTTGGCTGGTTCCTCTAAAAGGCCATAGCTCCAATCAGGCAGCTCTCTCCATGCAGCCACCCTCGCCCAGCTACTCTAATTATTCCCCTGGTTCTTGCAGGCCTCGGAGTGGTTATGGCTTTTGCCATTGTAGTCCTATCCTTTGTGAATTTCCTTAAGCCATGTCTACATCCTTGTAGTATTGCCTTTGTTGATCTTAAATTACCCAGCCTGACTGCTACCTGTTTTCTGCCAGGACCTTGACTGATACCTGGGGACCTATCCCTGGAGCATCCTAAGAGTTTCCTTAATTCGTTCTCTCTTTGAGCTAGTCTAGAGGATTTATCTTCCACAGATCTGGCCAAATCACTCTTCTCCTCAAAAACTCCCTTCTCTACCTTGTTCTTGGGCTTGGATATTTGCGATCTGGCCCCAAACTACTCACATGGGATGACACTTCTCCTTATGCTTCTTTTCCAGATATTTCTTACCCACTCCTATTTTCCATCTTAGCTATTTTCTAGAGCCTTAAGAACTTTTCTCAAGAAAGGCAAAAATGAGGGACAGGACAAAAGAAGCAACAATTATGTTTTTTGTAGCAATGTAACCTATAGGGAGATTCCCCTCCCCCCAACTGTGGGCAAGAAAGTTAAACAAGTGAAAGTACTACCTTTCAGGTTCCCTCAAAACACAACTAGTTTGGTCAGTTAAACACTTTTGTAAGCACTTTCTTTCTTCATTCTTTTGATTAACTTAGATTTACTTTCTAAACATTTCTCAGTTGCCCCTTTTTGGTAAAGGAAATCATTAGGGTTGATTCGACCATTCTTTAATCCTGCTGTGACCATAGTTAATTTGAGTATTTTTGTCTAGGAAATCCAATGTTCCAGTAATTTGATAAAATAATAGAAAAGGACGCTTAAAACACTTACATTATTTCCACATGGTTCATTTTTAACTGCTTTATAATTTAACTTGGAAGTACTTGAAGTGAAAATTTAATTTTGAAAATTTCTTAATCATAGATAAAAATCTGTGTATTCATGTGCTTCAGTTTTAGTCAGAAATCCATACACAAAATCTATTATTTCGTTTTAAAAAGGAAAAAGATGCAGCGCCAAGGTTTTGTGCGGTTAGTGGAGAAGCAGATTGAACATTGTACATTTGCCTAGAAGGAACTTTGGATTTGAGGGCAAAAAAAATGATGGTAGCATTTTAGAACTGACGTAAGTTGTTTTGTTCTCTGTAAAATACACAATGGTTGCACTTCAGAAAACGGCGTTTGCCAAAATCTTTTTTTTGTTTTTTGTTTTTTTTTTGCGGTACACGGGCCTCTCCCTGCTGTGGCCTCTCCCGTTGCGGAGCACTCCGCTCTGCGGCATGTGAGATCTTCCCGGACCAGGGCACGAACCCGTGTCCCCTACATCGGCAGGCAGACTCTCAACCATTGTGCCACCAGGGAAGCCCTTGCCAAAATCTTAATCACCTGTGAGTTGAGCACACGGCACTGGCTGATGGTTTTCATTCCTGAGACTTCATCATCAAATCCCAAGGGAATGAAATTGGCTTTAGATTTAGAGTTCAATATAAAAATGAAAGAGTGATATACAAAGGAAAGCCGAAGGTCCAGAATTTTACGGATATTTGTACTTAGAGTCCAATAACAGAAAAATTTAGATCCATTTATTAAATGATCATTTTCTATTCTGTTTTAACTTACAAAAGTAAAATTGCAATGAGTAAGAAATCTTTTTTTGTGTTTTTCTTAAGTCTATAAAATCTGAACAGTTTTTGTAAATGACTTGAAAATAGATTTACTCCCAATTAGGCAACCGAGTCCTGAATGCCTTTCCCCTAAAGAAAGCAACTGCATCACCACACGGCCTTCAGTTTGTCTTTGCAGTTATAGACCATGTGTGAACATATACCGATCTGCCAATCAAAATGTTCTTCTAAAAAAAAAAAAAAAAATGTTCTTCTAAATTTCCCACATGAGCAATATCAGGAATGAGCAGGGGGCTCTCCTGGTGGCTCAGTGGTTGAGAATCTGCCTGCCAAGGCAGGGGACACAGGTTCGAGCCCTGGTCCGGGAAGATCTTACATGCCACAGAGCAGCTAAGCCTGTGCGCCACAACTACTGAGCCTGTGCGCTACTGAAGCCCGCATGCCTAGAGCCCATGCTCTGTAACAAGAGAAGCCACGGCAATGAGAAGCCGGCGCACCGCAATGTAGGGTAGCCCCCGCTCTCTGCAACTAGAGAAAGCCGCGAAGACCCAACGCAGCCATAAATAAATAAATTTATTTTTAAAAAAAGAATGTGCAGGGAAGTTACCCCTATGCCAAATAAACATTAATTCTTGGCCCTCTTAACCAAAAATTGTTTCTAAACATTATTAACCCATCCTTTTTTAGAACATGTCTGTGAAACATGAAAACAACAGGTGGAAAACCTAAAAAGCATGACCCTATATATGGTAAATTCTGTAGCGTACACTTTTCTTTTTCTAGGTCTTTTTACTTGCCAAAGGAAGAGAGCAGAGGAAACGATCTCTGAGTGGCAGGTAGGTGTGTGACTGCATCCTTGTCAGCATCCCAAGAGTGCACTGCCGTCTAAGCCAGCTCCCTGGGCATTTGGTAATCCAGAAGATCCAGTTGCTTGTGGTGTGTGTACTCTCCCCTAAGGCCTAAGTAGGAGTTATTATTTAGAATGTATAAATAATGTTCCTGGCATTTTCCAGTATTTATTTCAATTGCCTCATTATACAAGATAGTGTGAATTTCAGCTGGGGCGGAAGCTGCCTTCTTATGGTGGTTCCTAGATTCCCTTCTCTGGAAAGCCTGTGGATTTCAAAGGAATCCATGGTTTAGGTCTCAGGCTTCAGTTTTTTCATCTGGAAAATGAAGGATTTTGACTAGGTGGCCTTTACGATTCATCTGTATGATCCTTTTCTTTTGTTAAAAAGTTATGCTCTTCAGATACTCCAATATTACTTTCTTATAAAGTGCTTTCTCTCCTGGTTTTTGATTAAAGCTTTTGACTGATGTATCCATGTACAGACCTCCCCCTCTTCCTGAGTCATTTATCTCATTTCCTAGGCTGGTTGTATGACTCCACATAGTGAAACAGCTTCCTGTGTGCACAAGGAGACTGTGACTACAGATGTGCTAATCAGTTCTTAATAACGTGGAGGTTGATTATTGTGTTTTGTAGGTTATTAATGATGCTTTTCCTTTTTCTTGCTTACCGTTAAACTTCTTTGAGAATTGGAAGAAAGGGTAGAGAATGAGCAAAGTATAGATTATTTTACTATTTGTTAGTTGTTCTGGAAAAATTCTTGTAGGTAAGAAGATAGAAGCTTTTTTTTTTTTTTTTTTTTTTGCGGTACGCGGGCCTCTCACTGTTGTGGCCTCTCCCGTTGCGGAGCACAGGCTCCAGACGCGTAGGCTCAACGGCCATGGCTCACGGGCCTAGCTGCTCCGCGGCATATGGGATCTTCTCGGACCAGGGCACGAACCCGTGTCCCCTGCATCATCAGGCAGACTCTCAACCACTGCGCCACCAGGGAAGCCCCGATAGAAGCTATATTTTAAAATATTTATATTTAAGTCATGTCTGGGAATGAAAGATTATGGTGGATTGGCTTTATTTGTATCTTTTCTGGCCTGAGACCTAGAACTGATGATGTTCTTTGTTTATTATAATTTCAGAAAAGTTTTAAAGAAAGCTTCAAAGTTAACTCCCTCAAATAATAAAATTGGGGCAATTTTGTGTTTCATAGTTTGGTGTTGCTTCAGAGAAAACTAGTCAGAAAATTTCAATACAAGGAAGGTAAAGTACAGGCATACCTTGGAGAGACTGCGGGTTTGGTTCTAGACCACTGCAATAAAGTGAATACTGCAATAAATCAAGTCACATGAATTTTTTTGGCTTCCCAATGCATATAAAAGTTATGTTTAGACAATACTTTAGTCTATTAAATGTGCAATAGCATTATGTCTAAAAAAACAGTGTGCATACCTTAATTAAAAACACTTTCTTGCTAAAAAATGCTAGCCATCATCTGATAACTCAGGTTTGCCACAAACCTTTCAATTGGTGAAAAACAGAATCTGCAAAGCATGATAGAGCGAAACACAATAAAACAAGGTATTCCTATAGAATAAAATATAATAACATTGCTGGCATGTTTAGTAATTATCATTCTGAGAATGAGTCTTGGTGATTTCTGGCCTGATTACCTGGGGACAGATTCCCCAAGGGATCATCATCTCATCTGAAAAATGGGCTAACATTATTTCTCAGTTTTAGAGTTCTATGAGTGGGAGATAAGTTATTCAAACATGCGTTTGTGAAGAACTCTTAAGAAGATCTTCTTTTTTCCCCATCAGATTCTCTAAGACCTCTGTGACTCTCTACCCCTCTCCTACAAGGTTGAGAACTAGTGTACTGTAGAAGAGGGAGATAATGAAGGGAGTAACTGGTGGAGATTTTATGGAAGAATAACTTGGCCTTTGAGCCTGCATAGAATTTGAATAGATGGGAGGAGGAAGAGGGTCATTCCAGTAGATGGTAGCGATATGAATAAAGACATGTAGCCAGTATTTATGGAGCAAGTACAATGTATCAGGCAGTGCTTATTTTTATAAATCTTTACAGTGGGCCTAGGAGGTAGATATTACCAGTATCCTCATTTTATAGATGAGAAGACTGAAGATCATAAGGGTTAAGTAGATTGCCCAAAGTCATGCAGTTAGTAAATGGTAGAACCAGGATCTGCATCTTTGCAGTCTAATTGCAGCCCGGCTACGTAAGCACTACCCCATAGAGCTTCCTCTCTCTGGTCCATTAGCAGTTTGCTTGTCTAGAATAGATGATTTGTGTTGTAAGAAATAAGCTAGGTAAGAAGTAAGCTAATAAGCTTGGGTAGATAAGTAGAGCAGTACCAAATGTGGAGCGCTTTTAGGATCAAGAGGAAGAATTTGGATTTTTTTTCAGTTTTTTTAAAATTGAGATATAGTTAATGTACAATATTATATAAGTTACAAGTATACAGCACATGATTCACAGTTTGTAAAGGTTATACTCCAGTTATGGTTATTCTAAAATATTGGCCATCTTCCCTGTGTTGTACCATATATCCTTGTAGCTTATTTATTTTATACATAATAGTTTGCACCTCTAAATTCCATACCCCTATCTTGTCCCTCCCCTGGTCCCTCTCCCTACTGGTAACCACTAGTTTGTTCCCTATGTGTGTGAGTCTGTTTCCTTTTTGTTATATCACTAGTTTGTTTTATTTTTTAGATTCCATGTGTGAGTGATATCACACATTATTTGTCTTTGTCTGACTTATTTCACTAAGCATAATACCCTCCAAGTCTATCCATGTTGTTGCAGATAGCAACAGTTCATTCTTTTTATGGCTAAGTAATATTCCATTGTGTGTGTGTGTGTGTGTGTGTGTATTACATCTTCTTTATACATTCATCTGTTGATGGACACTTAGCTTGCTTCCATATCTTGACAATTGTAAATAATGCTGCTCTGAACATTGGGGTGCATATATTTTTTCAAATTAGTGTTTTCATTTTTTTTGGAGATTTTATAAGGAGTGGAATTGCTGGGTCATATGGTAGTTGTATTTTATTTTTTTGAGAAACCACCATATTGTTTTCCACAGTGACTGCACCAATTTACATTCCCACGAACAGTGCACAAGAGTTCCCTTTTCTCCACATCCTCTCCAACATTGTTATTTGTGGTCTTTTTGATGATGGCCATTCTGACAGGTGTGAGGTGATATCTCACTGAGGTTTTAATTTGCATTTCTTTGATGATTAACAGTGTTGAGTATCTTTTCATGTGCCTGTTGGCCATCTGTATGTCTTCTTTGGAAAAATGTCTATTCAGGTCTTCTGCCCATTTTTTAATTGGGCTGAGTTTTTTTTTCTTTTCTTTGATGTTGAATTGTATGTGCTGTTTATATATATATATAATTTTTTTAACATCTTTATTGGAGTATAATTGCTTTACAATGGTTAGTTTCTGATTTATAACAAAGTGAATCAGCTGTACGTATACATATATCCCCATATCTCCTCCCTCTTGCATCTCCCTCCCACCCTCCCTATCCCACCCCTCTAGGTGGTCACAAAGCACTGAGCTGATCTCTCTGTGTTATGCGGCTGCTTCCCACTAGCTATCTGTTTTACATTTGGTAGTGTATATACGTCCATGCCACTCTCTAACTTCGTCCCAGCTTACCCTTCCCCCTCCCCGTGTCCTTAAGTCCATTCTTTACATCAGTGTCTTTATTCCTGTCTTGTCCCTAGGTTCTTCAGAACCATTTTCTTTTTTTTTCTTTTTTTTTTAGATTCCATATATATATGTTAGCATACGGTATTTGTTTTTCTCTTTCTGACTTACTTTACTCTGTACGACAGACTCTGGGTCTATCCACCTCACTAAAAATAACTCAATTTCGTTTCTTTTTATGGCTGAGTAATATTCCATTGTATGTATGTGCCACATCTTCTTTATCCATTCATCTGTCGATGGACATTTAGGTTGCTTCCATATCCTGGCTATTGAAAATAGAGCTGCAGTGAACACTGTGGTACATGACTCTTTTTGAATTATGGTTTTCTCAGGGTATATGCCCAATAGTGGGATTGCTGGGTCATATGGTAGTTCTATTTTTAGTTTTTTAAGGAACCTCCATACTGTTCTCCATAGTGGCGGTATCAATTTACATTCCAACAAACAGTGCAAAAGAGTTCCCTTTTCTCTACACCCTCTCCAGCATTTATTATTTGTAGATTTTTTGATGATGGCCATTCTGACAGGTGTGAGGTGATACCTCATTGTAGTTTTGATTTGTATTTCTCTAATGATTAGTGATGTTGAGCATCCTTTCATGTGTTTGTTGGCAATCTGTATATCTTCTTTGGAGAAATGTCCATTTAGGTATTCTGCCCATTTTTGGATTGGACTGTTTGTTTTTTTTAATCTTGAGCTGCATGAGCTGCTTGTAAATTTTGGAGATTAATCCTTTGTCAGTTGCTTCGTTTGCAAATATTTTCTACCATGTTTATATATTTTGGATATTAATCCCTTATCAGACATATCATTAGCCAATATTTTCTCCCATTCAGTGGGTTGTCTTTTTGTTTTGTCAATGATTTCCTTTGCAGTGCAAAAGCTTTTAAGTCTAATTAGGTCCCATTTGTTTATTTTTCCTTTTATTTCCTTTGCTTTAGGAGACAGATCCAAAAAAATATTGCTACAATTTATGTCAAAGAGTGTTCTGCCTATGTTTTCTTCTGTGAGTTTCATGGTTTCCAGTCTTACATTTAGGTCTTTAATCCATTTTGAGTTTAATTTTGTATATGGTATAAAAACTGTTCTAATTTCATTCTTTTGCATGTAACTGTCCAGTTTTCCCTGCACCGCTTATTGAAGAGACTGTCTTTTCTGCATTGTATATTCTTGCCTCCTTTGTCGTAGATTAATTGACCATAAGTGTGTGGATTTATTTTGGGACTCTCTCTTCTGTTCCAT